ATCGAATGACAAAACGAGAAAACAAAATATATACAAAAAATACTTAAGTTAATTATCAATTATTATAAACTAAAATCATCATTAGAACTTCACATATAAAAGAAAACTATATTTAGTTATGTGAAAATTAAGGAAAAAAATAATTTATTTTAATAACTAATTATACTTAAATGTTTTTTTTTNCTTAAATTTTTTTTTTTTTTTTTAATTTCCTTTAAAACATTCTAACAATTGGTGCCCTCAAGATTTTTGGGCCCTGGGCGGTCGCCCCGCTGGTCCGGCCCTGTCGGCTCTGGGTTCAAAACCGATACCGGATCGATAACAAATTTTCGATAACCGAATTTCGGCTACCGTTACACATAAGTCGCTTCGGTTCAGTTTATTTTCTCGGTCAAAAAATACCAGGCCTAGCCTGGGCAATAAAAGAGAGTTGAAGTCTTTCATATGAGCCAATTAAAATTGTAGAATGATAATAACTAACATACAAAATTAATAGTAAAATAAAAGAAGTGTTGAATTATTAATTGACAATTGTGGACAAGTTGGCTGATGAGTGAAGTTTAAAAACAAAAAATCTGGGAGTGCAAAAATAAATTTAAAAGGGGACAAATTAAAATTTTTAATATTAATAGTAAAAAAAATTAAAATTTTAATATTACTAGTAAAAAAAATTAAAATTTGAAGGGGCAATTGCCCCCTATCACTACATGTAACTGCGCCCCTGTGTACACGTATGTTAGAAATTTGTAACAATAAAATTCAGTATCTTTAAATGACATACGACTATAAATGTTCTCTTTTAATAGTACATCTAGTACGTACCCCGTGCGATGCACGGGATATAAATACTAAATGAGTTATTTTCACAGGCTTTGTCATTTTAAGCATATAAAGTAATAGGGTTATCATCTATTTTTCACATCTTTTAAGCAGCGTTGAGTGTAATAAACAATAAGGTTACAATCTATTTTGTACCTCTTTTAATCAACATTGACTTTTTAGTCAAAACATTAAATATGAGTATGTTAAGATTAGTTTGTAAAATAATTAATATATTATCTGGTCATTATCTCTTAAATGGTAAATTATATTAATTTGAAGAACAATTTATTTTTTATATTTAACAAAATGAAGCTTAAGAAAAAAATATATTGGCAAAGATTAATTCACCAATTTGATTTTGTCTGATTACTTGAAAAATTCTACCTAACCTGTTACGATTTACCATAAATATTTTTGGAAAAAAAGTGAATATTTGTGAAAAATAAATTAATATTATGGTTAGAACTTAAAATATGGTGTAATATTTATCTTGACCAAAATATTATCAACATGGATCATGGAAATCAATCTTGTAATTTATTATAATGAATATAAATGAAAGTATTACAAATATTAATAAAATAATATTTATCTTTACCAAATTATTATCAACATGAATCACGAAAAATCAATCCTGTAATTTATTATAATAAATATCAATGAAAATATTGCAGATATTAGTAAATTTATTTAAGTATGATCCTATCATAAAAATATTGCAAATATTAGTAAATTTATTTTAGTAATTATTTGATCTTATCTTATTTGATCTGGAAGCAATTAATGCATATACTTAAAAAGTTTCCAAAAGTGGTATGCATTAAATGTTTCCTAAATTTTTTGCTACTATTTTTAGTAAATGGTAATTTTTATTATATATATATAGATATAGATTCTATAGAAGACATAAGATGAGAAATTATCATTACTACATTATGAATGCATTCGATTTACCTTGAGTTTATTAGGGGTGATTGGCTACATATTATAATATTTTTAATGATCAGTAATTTGTTTTACATTTTTTAATACAGAATTATTCAGGTCAATTTTAATTCAACTCAACTCTTCTCAATATTATTAATATAACTAAATAATATCAATCAATTATCTCTATACATCATATCAGTTTTAATTCACTATTCAATTACTCCTCACATGTTTGTTATTACTTATCATTTTCAATAATATTTCTTTTACTTTTACATCATATCAACTTAATCATTACATTTTAAATACTAGTATTTAATTACAAACTCAAAATCCAACTTTATCCTACACTCAATCAATTATATTCAAAAAAATCACTTTAACCAACTAAATTCAATCACAATTAATTTTATTTATATTCAATTGCCCCACACTTTATTACTTGCAATTTGCTCCAATCTATACTTATATAAAAAGACATCCTATTTACTAGAAATAGTAGACAGAAAAGTCAAAGTTAATTAATGCTTGCTGAAAATAGAATTACATTAATTACAGATTTGTTTTGGTATTTATAGTCTTGACATTAAAGATTTGTTATAAGATAAAAATTAAAACCGATTTTTTTACATTTGCTGGAAAAGTCAAAGGTAAGTATAAATTTGTTTTATCCCATAACATCGGTTTGTTAAAAAAATCCAATAAGATCATGATTAAAATCATAATAAAAATCATGATAATATAGATAAATTTTTTTAATCCAAAAAGAGTTTAAAAATGCAAATATAGATAGATTTTTTTAAGAGAATCTAAACGATCTTAAGATTCTCAAACATATGAAAAGTGTATGCATAAAAATCTCATTTCTATGAACATATATCATATATATGAGAAGAAAATTGTGTTTCTTTTCATGGGAGGTAACTAAGTTTTCAATGTTTCAATATATATACAAAATTTTAATTAAATTTCTAAATAATTTAAAAGTTTTCAATGTTTAAACTAAATGATAAATGATTTATAAATCTACATTTTATTTAAATATGTATTTTCATTTATTAAAAATAATTTTAAATGTAACAAAATTTATTTAAAAAATATCGATATTTTCGATGGACTGGTGTTGACCGATTTGCTAGCAAACATTTTATTCAAGAGAACCGGACTGGTCGATAAACCAATTCCCTATCTATTCGGTCAGAGTACTGTCCGGTCTGGTCCAATTTTAAAAACAATTGGTAAATCATCATGATTAATATTATGTATATATTTAATTTATAATACAATCGTAATATTATTTTCCCGTGCATTGCACGGGCCACGTACTAGTTAGTTTTACCAATAAATATAATTTCAAGACAACTTCTCCTTTCACACCACTTAATCGTTAGTTCAAAAGACATTTAACATTATTTCTTAAATAAAAAATTTACAGTTATATCAAGAGTTATTATCAACCAGCGAAATTCAGTCGAGCTAGAGCTAGTTCGAACGCAAGCTCTTTAGTAAGTCAATGTGATAAATAAATGAATTTGTATTTGGCTCATTAATGACTCTTAACAGACTGAATTGCATTAAAAATTTATGAAATTATGTAAAATATCTATTTGTCAATCCGTAATAGCTCTAAGGATAAAAAAAAAAAATAAATAAAAATAACGTACTAAGGAATTTACATAATCCTCCTATTGGAGCAAATGGTCAGGTCCATACTTCATTAATTATTATTATTATATTAATGAAGTGCTATAGAACCAGTCACCGATAAGGGCAACTTTAATAACAGGTTTTGGTAAGGTTTACAAACCCCACCTTCACAGGTTTACCACTATAGTTGAAAGGTTTGAGGTTTAAAATTATGATACGGGTTTGTAAATCCAACACTGGTGCAAACCTCATAATATAATATTTGAAAAAAGAAAAGAAGATTGGGAAAGGAGAGTGGAAACAATTCTGGAAGGACATTGAGTCATGCGCGTATATTCACGCGACTTAAATCATGTGAGGGTGCCTGGCCCACTTTGTCCCTTCACTTTGCACCACCCACTTTGTTTTTCATATTTAATTGCTTTGAATTTTTTATTCATTTATTTATGTATATATTATTATTTTTGACTTTATTCATGGCTCTTTCCTTCATTTTGTTGCCTTTTTTTTCCTTCTTCACACGATTTATTTATATCTAATGTATTCTTTTTTTTTCTAAATTAAAATCCTAAACTAAAAATATTAAAACCAATATTCAATATTTGTAAAAGAAAACTTTTATTTTGCAATAATAACTTATAAGTTATATTTCACTAATAGTTAAAGTTTGTCATATTAATTTTACTTTGTTCAATTTTTTTATATTTAAGAAAATATGATACATGTTTTTAAGTGAAAAAATTATATGTGAATATAAATTAACATATTAAAGGATTGTATTTTGCTATTTATTTTTTAATCTCTAAACTAGTGAAATGTCATTAATGATATTGTGATTTTAAAAAATAATGAACAGAATTATATATTGAATGACATACTATTGTAATTTAATGTTAAATAACATATTATCACGTTATACGGTATTTAAGTTCTATGTTTCGTAACCTTTTTTAATAAAATGTGTCATCGAGACGTAATTAACACTCTATAGTTATTAATAATGATATATAATTTTATATAATTATATTATTTTTTAAATATATTTATGATAACTATATAAAATATGTAGATTGAATTAAAATAAAAAGTAGACTTGTATTTTTTAAATATTATAAAAAATATAAGAGTGTAATATTAATTAAAAGTAAGTGATAAACATGTGGGACCCATTAAAAAATAGGTTTATGAAGTTTATTGTTATTAGAGATTTATGTGGGTAGGAGTAAGAATAAGGTTTTGGATGATGTGGCATGTTGGAAAATGTGAAAGGAGGTTTAGAGAGGTTTATTGTTAAAGATGCTCTAAGTCCACAAACGATATTGCAAGAATTTGTGAGTTAGACTCTCCACGTACGTACCCGCCCTTAACTCATGTTATCTTCCACGGATCAGTGTTTGACTTACAGTATGTCGCTTGATCAATGTACGTACCTGTCCATTCAGCTCCTTGAGAATGACAATTCAAGAAAACAGATTTGCAGAGGACGGAGTAAAGTAAACGCCAACCCAACTGTAAAATCCTCACCAATCACCCAAATCCCTAAATTATGTCTACAATATAAATACTAGTACTCCATAATTTTTCTATATTCCAAAACACCACAAACATTTATGACATATGAGTACATGCATGCATCAAAAGATCGAGAAATAAATAAATAAATAATTGGAGAAAACTTTACACCATTATAAGTGCCACACAATTAAACCTCAATTCCCACACCTCCTTTAGACCAAACAACTAAATCAATTTCCTCCACTCCAGAATCCAATTCCTAAAAATTCCCAAAGCAGAAAATTAGCTCAAATGGCCAAACCAAACAACAACAACAACAAAGATGATATAGACAATATTTCTTCCCAAAAACTCCTCCTATCCCAAATCCACTCTCTCCTCACATACCTCATGAACCTATCAACCTTCACAACACTCCTCATTCTCACCACCTCCCAATTTGCCTTACTCATCACACAAAAAACCCTCAATCCAATTTACCATTTTATCCCTGCCTCACTCTTACTCCTATTAATCACTGCCAGATCATCACTCCGTGCCTTGCGGGGTCCGCCTCCCGTGTACCTCATCGACTTCACTTGCTTCAAACCCCCCAACTTTTGCCGCGTCCCGACATCCACCTACCTCGAGCACGTCTCGATGCTCGACTTTCTTGACGGCGAGAGCATGTCCTTCATGTCGAAGGTCCTCAAGCGCTCGGGGCAGGGAGAAATGACGTACTTGCCCCCGGCCGTCCACACGATTCCCCCGAGTTCCTCCCACGGGGAAGCGGCCAGCGAGGCCCGTCTCGCGCTGTTTCCCGTGTTCGAGGCCCTTTTATCTAAAACGGGCCTCGGCCCGCATGAGATCGACGTTCTGATAGTGAACTGCAGCGGGTTCTGCCCGGAGCCGTCGCTGACGGCGGCGGTGGTGAGGGAGTACGGGCTGCGGGCTGACGTGAAGAGCTTCAACCTGGGCGGGATGGGTTGCAGCGGGAGTGCGCTGGCCGTGGCGGCGGCGGCGGACGTGCTGAGGGGCGGAGGGAGGCCGGGGAACGCGGTGGTGCTGAGCACGGAGGTGCTGTCGACGGGGTGGTATCCGGGGAAGGAGCCGGGGATGATGGTGCTCAACTGCGTTTTCCGGTGGGGGGCGGCGGGGGTGGTGGTGACCAGCCGGATGGAGGCAGGGAAGACGGCGAAGTACAGGCTGGTGTGTCAGGTGAGGAGTCAGAGGGCGTGGGACGACAGGGGATATTATTCCGCCATTAGGGAAGAGGATGGAGAGGGGCTCACCGGAGTTACTCTCCGCCGGGACTTGCTGCAGGTGATAATTTATTATTATTATTTCTACTGGAAATTGCACTTAGTGGGCTGCTCAAAATTTTCCCCTAATAATATATTTTTTAATTCCTCTGGCTTTTGGAAATGAGATTTTCACCTCTATGTAATATGTAAAATGTAATCAAAATTTTCAGTAAATATTTGTAAGGACTCAATATCCAGTAGACAACTCACAAAATGATTTTCCAACATTTAGCATTCATTCTAAAGTTACAGTGAGTGTCTGAACACTTGATTAATTGTTCAATTACTTGTCTGATTTATTAAAAGTCATATATACATGTATTCGAAGTATTCGTATAATTAGTTGTGAAACTTTTGTTTTAACGAGTACATATTCGAATGAATTCTGCTTTGACATATTAATTTGGCCCACAAAAATACGGACTAAAGGAAGGAGCTTTTATCACGGGTTCTTGCAGGTGGCAGGAGAAACTCTCCGGTCGAACATCACCATGCTCGGATCCAAAATCCTACCCTACACCGAAATAATACTCTACGCATACTCAATCATCAAGAAAAAGTACATAGACAAGTCAACCGAAATTTACGTGCCCAATTTCAAGAGGGCCGTGCAGCATTTTTGCTTGCCGGCCTCCGGCAAGCCTGTGATTCGAGAAGTCGGGAAAGGTTTGAAGCTGGGGGAGAAGGATATGGAGGCTGCATTGATGACACTTCACAGGTTTGGTAACCAATCTTCCTCATCATTGTGGTACGAGCTTGCTTACATTGAGGCTAAGGAAAGGGTCAAGAAAGGTGATAAGGTGTGGCAACTGGGCATGGGCAGTGGGCCCAAATGCACTAGTCTGGTCTGGGAGTGCATCAGGCCCATTGTTGGGGAGGCCCAAAATGGAGTATGGGCTGATAGTATTGACAGGTACCCTGTTGCAGGGGGTAATCATAATTCGTCTTAGTTTGGGGAAAGGATTTTGCGGAATATCAGATTTTCCACATTAGAACTTTGATGTTTACATGAGCCAAATTATGACTTCATCTTACTTAATTAATTGCTATAAATTAAGGGGATATTAAAATCAGTTTTAAATGATTGGATAATTTTTTATACTCTTTATTTCAAAATTCAATTTATATTTCATGTAACTTAAATCTTCTCAATATTACATAACTAAATGAAACGGATATTGGGAGTAAATAGAGTACGCAATAGTGTGTTTAAACACCAAAAATGAAAGCGGAAGTCATTAACTTTAAAATCTCTTCGAGGAATGATCAACTATTCTTCGGAGTTCTTTCATTAATAGCTCGATTTGCACGAACAAAGTACAACTTCGTCTTACAAGACTCGAACTCTTTTCTAGTCTAGTCAACACTATATATATCTGAACTTCTTAACTATTTTGTCTGGCCACAACCTAGTGAACTTCAAACTGATTAAGAGTCCCTCCCAGCTATCCTAGCACTGAATCACTAAGTACGATAAGTGTTTGTAGAAATAAGAAAACTTAATAAAGTTCTTCAATGGTTTAAAAACATTGAAAAAATGCTTACAAAAGAACTCGAAAACAAAACTCCCAACCACTCATGAACTCTTAAAAAATATGTTAAAACTCCGATATGAGCAACATCCTTCAACTGAGTATTTGAGGCTGTATTTATACAATCTCCTCAAGGCAAGAGATCTTCAAGTTTCCTTTCTTTTGGAGTAGATTTTCTTCCTTATATAAAATTTCAGCTAAGGTCGAGATCTTCATATATGAAAGCTGAGATCTTCTTGTTGTATAATGTCTCGATCAACTTTCTCTTCATTTGAGTCCAAGATCTCCTACAAAATAGAAACATGCATTATAGAGATTCACCATATTAATAGAATCTAATTCTAAACAAGAGAGAGAGAGAGAATGTAGATCTTCTCTATTGTTTTCCTTACTTGCCTTAGAACATCAAGATGTCGTTTTTGGAACTTCTTGTCAAACTAAAATCTTACGATGTTGAACTTAAATTATAAATACATGAAATCTCTATTTATATTTATATTAAAAAATTGATGGTACACGTATATATTTATATTAATAGTAAATATATTTTATATGAAATGAGTGTTTCGACTTAAACTACAAAATCACTATTTCACATATAAAATCGGGCGGCCCCCTGAGTAAAATCTTGTAATTTATTATAATGAATATCAATAAAATTATTGTAAATATTAAAAAAATTATTTAAGAAAACAATGTTTTTGATTATATTTTTTCTAACTATCTATTCACAATTATTATTTTATATAACAATATTTTTCTTAATGAACATAAAAAAATATATCAATAATATAAGAAATAAATGTAAAATAAAAGGAATAAAAGAGAGAATATTTGAAGTATAGTAAGATAAAGAGTAATATTTAAATGTAAAATATTTGAAGTAGAGTAAGATCACACGATATATTACCTAGTCGAACTTGTACGCTTCTTCCCTATTCCGCATGAATTTGGGTTTAACACAAAGATCCCACGATATATTACCTAGTCGAACTTGTACGCTTCTTCCCTATTCCTAACTTGAGTAACCTTCTGTAAAATTACCCATATAAAAGTAAAACCTAAAAACCTTATTCACTACTCATTATTTTCTGCCGATCCAAATTTTGCAGAGATAAATTACTCGATCGTAATTAGAAACTTTTAGAGAAGATGAAGATTTTCGTGAAGACTCTCAAGGGTATCACCTTCGACGCCGAAGTAAAACTCGAGGATACGGTTAGTTCTCTCCTCTTTTTCTTTCCTTTTTTGGTTAATTTTTTTTAACTTTAGTTTGAATTATGCATCGTTCTTATCGGTTTGTGTAAATTTTGTTGTTTTTGGGGCGAGGGGGTGGTCGATGAAGGCTGGAGCTTATGTTTGGGCGATAATTGATGATATCTGCAACTTTTGTTTTTAATTTGTTATTTTTTTTTTGTCGGCTTTAGTTTGTGCAATTGTATGATGACAATTTATGTTGCCATACTTTAATTGGATTATCTGTCAATAGCTATAAATAGTGCCGGCGATGATTCACGGGGACCAATTTGCATATTGTTTTCATCTGAGTTGATGGAATTTGATACCGGAATATAGCTGAATTGTTATCTTAATATGTGGTAGCTGAGTTTCGCGACGAATTTAATGCGGGTTTTTTTTTAATGATTTGAAATCAATAATTTATGGGCTTTGTGGGTTGTTTGAATGAAACTCAATGTGGCTGTTGAAAATTAGTCTAGATGAAAGAGAATTTTCCGAGGTTATGCTTTTGGAAAAGATAGTTTTTGTAATTTGTATGAATAATGAGCAGCAAGGGCTCGAACTTGAGTGTATTCCGTATGAAATTTAGTAGGATTTAGTGAAATATTTCCCTCGATTGATATGGCTTTTTAGTTCCAATCATTGTTTTGTTTGGCAAGTTGCAGATGTGAAGAAAACCATAGAGGGAACCACAGAGAGTAAAGAGGGAGCAGATAAATATCCGGCCGCACAGCAAATGCTTATCTACCAAGGGAAAGTTCTGAAAGATGACAGTACACTGGAAGAAAATAAAGTTGCTGAAGGCAGTTTTGTTGTTGTTATGCTGAGCAAGGTAAAAAGTCTATCTATTGGAAGTTTCTAGAACAATTTTACTGAAATAAATTACAAAGGTTGTCTAGCCTATGCCCTTTAGACTATGTTTATCCGTGACCTTTTCATTGGGTCACGGGAATAAGACAAAAAAAAAAAGGTCACAAACTTGACCAGGGTCGCGACCGGTTTTTGTGTAGGAATGGGACACTTGTCCCATTTTTATTGGACAAGTGTATTTTTTTTGTTTCTAAAAAAAAATACTAAAATTCGTATTTTTTCATTCTATATAAATAGAGACTACACTTGATATATTTTAGAACACAATTGCAGTTTTTTAATACATTAAAATAAAATAAATGTTTAGGTTGAGTTGGGTTGGGCTTAAAGATAAATTGGGTTGAAAGATTGAGTTGTGTAGGTGGAGGAGAGAGAAATAATTTTTAATTATTAGGTTGGGTTGGGTTGGGGATAAGGATGGTCTTACAACCCTTACAACTACATCTAGTTTTCCATGATTTTATTCTCCGATTTTTTTTATGTCCATTTATCTTGAGTGTTCAAGCAATTATTCGATAATAATTGATGTATAATATTTTCTAAAGCGGTTATACCCTTAAGAAGGCATGCCTGATAATTGATTCTTTAGTTTACTCTAGTTATAGGTATCCAAGTTTGCAGCTGGGGATCACTTTTTAATTTATTCTATTTTCTAAGCCATTGACAACATGCATTCCATAGGGATGATTTGAAGGGAAAAATGAATTTTCAACTTACAATGGAAGTGACAACAGATCCTAATGTAAAGAAACTTCATTCGCAATGAGCCTATTGAGTTATGCAAATCCTGCTCCATTGTAATGAAAATTGCTACTAACTCAACACCTTATACGCCTTCTGATCCTATCCGATATCATATTAATTATGTTCTTTCTCAAATGTTGTAGAACAAAGGACCTACAGGTGAAGGCTCAACAACGGCAAACGCACCTAAGGTAAGTGTATTATAGATTGTGGCTTTATATTTCTTTGTCTTGATGTTTTAATTTCTCATTTAAAAATATATTTCAGTTGATTCTATTGGACACCATTCTTATTGTTTTCTTGTTGTAGCTGGATTGTGTCGGTTGGTGTGTTTATGTGTGTGTTAGGTTCAGATGCTATTAACTAATGTTATAATGTGTAGATATATGAGAAATTGGCTCACCTTGTTGAAGTTAAAAGTTCTTTTGATTTTGCCCTGAGATGGAAATACATTTCCTTTTTATGGAAACAGATATTTTCTGGCATGCATAGTAATGTGAACCATTGTATGCTTCAGACGTTCTGTTTCTTTGTTTTCTCATTGTGAAACTGAGAGTGAGATGGAAAATTTAAAACCTCTCCGTTACATTGTTGAGATGGAATATTAAAAGTTGAATTAAACTTTTAAGTTTTCTTATATACAAATATTTGTTCTACTAATGATCTATTTATTTCCTTATTCTTTTAATATTAATATTAATTTTATGTAGTATTCTCTTGTGCTACCAATACAACATTTCTGATTTCTTTGCCCTACCTAAGGTGACGTCTTGGTGAGGGCTTGGACTTCAATTGCGCTATGTATGTACAACTAAAGGGATTGCACAGTCAATTATATTTTTTAGTTTTGTCTATGTTCTATTATTCTCTTTAATTCTCATAGTTGGGGAAGAGTTTGGTGTTCGGTTGTGTTACTTATTTGTGGATATGGAGTTAGTCATTCACTTAGACATTTTATTAGTTTGGTCATGTATTAATATTTTCCAACTCCTATTTTTTATTTATGCTTTTAATTTGATTTCTTGTATAACTCTCTTGCTCCCTATAAAGTTCGTCCTATTTATTTTTTGCTCTGCTTTGGGGATATCTTGCTTTGTGCAATGAATTTGGTTGTGCTACCTTTTGGTGGCGAAGGATTTGGATATTCGATTATATTTTTAAGTTTTTTCATATACTAATATTATCTAACCACAATCTCTTTATTTTCCTTTTCTTTTAATATTGATTTTTTGTCCTATCCTCTTGTGTTATCAATACAGCCCATCCGATTTCTTCGCCCTACCTTAGGGGACGTCTTTGTTGGGGCTTTGAGTTCGATTGTGCTATGTATTTGTAGCTAAGAGGTTGGATATTCGATTATATTTTTGATTTGCCATCTTTGATGTGTCGGTACTACGGTACCATGAAACTCGTTTTGGGCCCTAGATTGGACGTGCCCTGTGACTTGTAGATTCGATTGCGATAAGAGTTAAAATTTTTTCAAGAAACTATATTGTTTTATTTTGGCGACCTGGAACCTTAAATCTTAAACTTTTTGTTTCATTCTCTTTTCCTTATAGTATAATTTATTGATTTCCTTTGCTTTTGTCTTTGAATTTGATTGTGCTACTTATAATCCTTTTTTTATGGGGTGGGAGAGAGGTCGGTGTTCGAGTATATATATATGTGTGGGTGCAGAAATATTTCCTTGTTAATTACTCATCCTTTCTTTTATAACTTTGATCATTTTGTTCCCTTTTTTTATGCCATCAATATGCTTCATTTGATTTCTTTGTGAATGAAGTTGTGATACTTATTTGTGCCTAGAATGTTTATTGGTTTGGTCTATGTACTAATATTTTCGAGCTGAGATCCTGTTTTTTCTTTATACTTTTAGTTTTGATCTCTTGTATTACTCTCATGCTACCAACACAACCAATTAATTGCTCTGTCTGGGCAATGAATTTGGTTGTACTTCTTATTTGTGGCTAGGCTAACGGGTTGGACATTGAATTAAACTTGTAGGTTTTCTTATATACAAATATTTTTTCTACTAATGATCTATTTATTTCCTTATTCTTTTAATATTAGTTTTTTTGTAATATTCTCTTGTGCTACCAGTACAACATATCTGATTTCTTTGCCCTTCACTAAGGGGACGTCTTGGTTGGGGCTTAGACTTCAATTGTGCTATGTATGTACTGCTAAGGGATTGACTGTCAATTATATTTTTTAGTTTTGTCTATGTTCTAATACTCTCTTTAATTCTCTTAGTTGGGGGAGGGTTTGGTGTTTGGTTGTGTTGCTTATTTGTGGATATGGAGTTGGTCATTCAATTATACATTTTATTAGTTTGGTCATGTATTAATATTTTCCAAGTCATATTTTTTATTTATACTTTTAATTTGATTTCTTGTATGACTCTCGTGCTCCCTCGTCGTCCTATTTATTTCTTGCTCTGCTTTAGGGATATCTTGGTTTGTGCAATGAATTTGGTTGTGCTACCTTTTGGTTGCTAAGGGATTGGATATTCGATTATATTTTTAAGTTTTCGCATATACTAATATTTTCTTAACCACAATCTCTTTATTTCCTTTTTCTTTTAATATTGATTTTTCGTCCTATCCTCTTGTGTTTCAATACAGTATCCGATATCTTCGCCCTACCTTAGGGGACGTCTTTGTTGGGGCTTTGAGTTCGATTGTGCTATGTATTTTTAGCTAAGAGGTTGGATATTCGATTATAATTTTTTATTTCCCATCTTTGATGTGTCTGTACTATGGTAGCATGAAACTCGTTTTGAGCCCTAGATTGGACGTGTCCTGTGACTTGTAGATTCGATTGCAATAAGAGTTAAAATTTTTCCAATAAACTATATTGTTTTATTTTGGAGACCTGGAACCTTAAATCTTAAACTTTTTGTTTCATTCTCTTTTGCTCTTAGTATAATTTATTGATTTCCTTTGCTTTTGTCTTTGAATTTGATTATGCGACCTAGAATTCTTTTTATCGGGGGTGGGAGAGAGGTCGGTGTTCGAGTATGTATATGTGTGTAGAAATATTTCCTTGTTAATTACTCGTTGTTTCCTTTATAACTTTGATCATTTGTTCCCCTTTTTTCTACCATCAATATGCTTCACATCAATATGTTTCATTTGATTTCTTTGTGAATGAAGTTCTGATACTTATTTGTGCCCCAGTTAGATTTTTTATTGGTTTGGTCTATGTACTAATATTTTCGAGCTGAGATCCTGTTTTTTCTTTATACTTTTAATTTTGACCTCTTGTATTACTCTCATGCTACCAACACAACCAATTTATTGCTCTGTCGTCTTGGTCTTGGTCCGGTCAATGAATTTGGTTGTACTTCTTATTTGTGGCTAGGCTAACGGGTTGGACATTGAATTGAACTTGCAAGTTTTCTTATATACAAATATTTTTTCTACTAATGATCTATTTATTTCCTTATTCTTGTAATATTAATTTTATGTAATATTCTCTTGTGCTACCAATACAACATATCTGATTTCTTTGCCCTACCTAAGGGGACGTCTTGGTTGGGGCTTAGACTTCAATTGTGCTATGTATGTACGGCTAAGGGATTGGACTGTCAATTATATTTTTTAGTTTTGTCTATGTTCTAATATTCTCTTTAATTCTCTTAGTTGGTGGAGAGTTTGGCGTTCGGTTGTGTTGGTTATTTGTGGATATGGAGTTAGTCAATACAACTAGATATTTTATTAGTTTGGTCTATGTATTACTATTTTCCAACTCCTATTTTTTATTTATGCTTTTTAATTTGATTTGTTGTATAACTCTCGTGCTATCTCGTGCTCTCTATACAGTTTGTCCTATTTATTTCTTGCTCTGCTTTGGGAATATCTTGGTTTGTGCTACCTTTTTGTGGCTAAGGGATTGGATATTCGATTATATTTTTAAGTTTTCTCATATACTAATATTTTCTTAACCACGATCTTGTTATTTTCTTTTTCTTTTAATATTGATTATTTGTCCTTTCCTTTTGTGTTATCAATACAGCCCATCCGATTTCTTCGCCCTACCTTAGGGGACGTCTTTGTTGGGGCTTTGAGTTTGATTGTGCTATGTATTTGTAGCTAGGAGGTTGGATATTCGCTTATAATTTTTGATTTGCCATCTTTGATGTGTCGGTACTACGGTAACATGAAACTCTTTTTGGGCCCTAGATTGGATGTGTCCTATGACTTGTAGATTCGATTGCGGTACGAGTTAAAATATTTTCCGTAAACTATATTGTTTTATTTTGGAGACTTGGAACCTTAAATCTTAAACTTTTTGTTTCATTCTCTTTTTGCTCTTTGTATAATTTATTGATTTCCTTTGGGATTAATATGATTTTTCTCTTTGAATTTGATTGTGCTACCTATAATTTTTTCGGGGATGGGAGAGAAGTTGGTGTTTGATTATATATATGTGTGTAGAATTATTTCCTTGTTAGTTACTCATTGTTTCTTTTATAACTTTGATCATTTTGTTCCGTTCTTTTATGCTATCAATATGCTTCATTTGATTTGTTTGTCCTACCTAGGGTGACGATGACCTGGTTTGGTCTTTGAATGAAGTTGTTATACTTATTTGTGCCTAGACATTGAGTTGCATTTTTTATTGGTTTGGTCTATGTAATAATATTTTCTATTATTATTTATAATTTTGATTTTGATCTCTTGTATTACTCTCATGCTACCAATACAACCAATGTCTTGCTCTGTCTTGGGATGTGTTGGTCTGAATTTGGTTGTACTTCTTATTTGTGGCTAGGCTAACGGGGTGGACATTGAATTAAACTTTTAAGTTTTCTTACATACAAATATATTTTCTACTAAATATCTATTTATTTCCTTATTCTTTTAATATTAATTTTATGTAATATTCTCTTGTGCTACCAATACAACATATCTGGTTTCTTTGCCCTTGCCCTATCTAAGGGGACGTCTAGGTTGGGGCTTAGACTTCAATTGTGCTATGTATGTACGGCTAAGGGATTGGACTGTCAATTATATTTTTTAGTTTTGTCTATGTTCTAATATTCTCTTAATTCTCTTAGTTGGGGGAGAGTTTGGTGTTCGGTTGTGTTGCTTATTTGTGGATATGGAGTTAGTCTTTCAATTAGACATTTTATTAGTTTGGTATATGTAGTTGGGGGAGAGTTTGGTGTTCGGTTGTGTTGCTTATTTGTGGATATGGAGTTAGTCTTTCAATTAGACATTTTATTAGTTTGGTATATGTATTACTATTTTCCAACTCTTATTTTTTATTTATGCTTTTAATTTGATTTGTTGTATAACTCTCGTGCTATCTCGTGCTCCCTATACAGTTCGTCCTATTTATTTACGGTCCCGCTACACTACCCAAGTCTCTTGACATAATTGGGTTACAAAATGACGTGGCAACAATTAATATAAAATAAAAAACAAAAATCTATAATAAAATTTAATGAAATAATTACCTTTTCCCAAATTCCAATCATCACTTTCCCTAACCCTTATTTCACTTCTACCCTTATAATTTAGCCGATTTCTTTAAGAGAAA